GAGCATCCGCTTTAGACAGGGGTGTTTGGTAACGATAACCAAAAAGGTACAAGAAACAAGAGGAACACTTAACCCACCAACTTTTGCCCACATCTGAACACTCTGAATGAAAAATTCTGCTGACATTCTATAATAAAATATAATATTTACCAAGATATTTGCCACCAGTATTGTAAGATACGTGCTTCAATAGCCTACTTCTAAAAGGATGAGGAAATATACTGATTTGTGATATCAGGAGCACAGAGCGGGAATGATGACTCATTTCTCGTTCACTCTAATAAGAGAAATTAAATATCCAACACTGGTATTGAAATGTGAACAAATGTTGCTTGATAAAGATTGGAATTGTATGCATGTAGGTGGAAAGTGAATAATATCCTTTAATGATAACAAAAAAACTGGAGCGTGTTACAAGATGACGACCAGAATTTCAAGTTACAGATGTTTCCACATTGACCATAGATAACATAAAACTAAAATGTATAAAATACACTTTCTGTGTCTTAGTTTGTTTAACATTTTTTAACTAGCCAATATAGCACGTTCAACTTTACAGTTTGCAAATCATCTGGGATCTCAGCAAACTGGGATCTCCTTTGAACCTGAATTTTACCACATTAACTAAGCTAAGTGAAACTTCCATGGCAAAGTAAACATTCACTTTGCAAGGCAAACATGCTCTACTTCTTTGATAAATCTACCCCAGTGACTAAGTATTTGAACTAGGAACAGGATAAAGCCCTTTAAATACAAGTCATAAAGGCATATCATATATTTCTATCCTAATAGTTTCCATTTGAAGAGTCAATGTCACCTTATCTATTCAATGCAAAGTAGAGTGTCTGTGTAAAGCCCACCCCCTGACCACTTTATATTCACCTTTCCAGTGTTCCATCACACCTTTATTTTTGGCCGCCACTGCAAAATACCTGTAGCATGTGACCTCCCATGATGCAATGCTTGAGTCTAGTGGAAAATTGCTACTCCTGAACATTGTCACATGACAAAAGGGGTGACATCTCCTCTTAGCACCGACACTGGGTATTTTAGTGGCAGCTGTAAAAGAGAAAGGAATGGTAGGTAGTAGTAAATTGAGTGAACTTTCACCGGATGATCTACTTGTTGCCTGTGCTTTAACAGAAGCTCTAAAGGAAATAAAATAAAACCTCTTTAATACTCTCTCTGAATTCTCTTATTCAGATATTTAGATCTGACAGATGTGAAGGGAATATTAAAAATACAGGATCCATATAACTAAAGAACGAGTGGTTCCACTGATGTTGGTTTTGTAATCGTGACCTAACTTTACATCTGCTGCCTAAAACGAATAAACTGTCCTACACGGCTGGAAATAATCATTCTGTGATCAATATTTTAGCTATCTGATGTTCCAGCATTTTAAGAAGCAGATGTCTAAGCTTGTGATGGGGATAGATACATTTTGAATTCATCATAGATCTGTTTGCGTATTGGTCTTCTTGCATTTTTGTTATCTGAGCACAATAAAATGGTGCCATATGCACATTGTTACCAGGATCGCTTTAATCATATAGGTGACAGGAATGTATAGTATTTTTGTATATTTTTTTCTTTGTTATGGTCAGAACTAAAAAATACTGTACATTTCTATATTTTAGGTAGCTTAATATGAAACATTGCCTTTGGATAATATGTATTTGCAATCCCAACCTGCAGGTCGAGTTTTAAGTTCCATTTAAAGTTTTCCAGCCTCCTCTTCAGCATCTTTATTTTTTTTTAAACCTGCTGTTTACAAAGTTCAACAGTTGAAACTAAAATCAGTTACAACAGCGATTCATATAGCCTCTTTCCCCCTTTCACTAAATCCCTCCGATTATAACTACAGCTTTGTTCTCTCTCTTTAGAAAACCCACAGTACTCTAAGCATCCTTTGTTATAGGACATCCTATATTAAATAAATCAGTGATTCACCTAACATTCCTGCCAGCACATGCCACTGCAGAGAGAGGGAGATAAACCTATGTAGAACTTCAAAGTTGGGACTAAATTTCACAGACTGTCCCTCTAATATCTCAGGCAAATTCTATATGTTATGAATGGCCATTGTTGGACAGATATCTGCCCGTGAGTGGTGGACTGATAGTCTTATATCCTGATCTTATAGTCCAAGCATAATATAATATGGTTCCCACCAAGCAACATCTGTGTCATATATGCAATGTAGAAAACGAATCATTGAACTGCACATTACTACACCAATATATATATATA